TGGGGTAAGGGAATGAAGTATACCAGGAAAGACAGGAAGAGGTTATTACAATTAGGAGGAATAAGTGCTGGTGTTCSRTTGTACATAGGGTGACTATAGTTCAGAATAATATAGTATATATTTCATAAAAGCTAGAAAGAGGATTTTGAATGTTTTCATCCCAACAAGTGATAAATGTTTAAGGGGATAGWTGCAATCCCTATCCTGATCTGATCAACAATGTATACATATGTCAAAATATCACATCGTACTGCATAAAATGTATTGTTACTATGTACCAATCAAAAAAAACTTTATTTTTTTAAGTTGTTGATGGACCTTTATTTTATTTATTTGTATATGGTGSTGAGAATCGAACCCAATGCCTCATGCATGCTAAGCAAGCACTGTGTCACTGAGCCACAACCCCAGCMCCCCCAAAATAAAACTTGATAATAAAATTTTAAAACAAGAGAAAGACTTCTATGGGCCTTCTGCAATAGCCTTTCCTTTCCTGTGAAAAGGACAGCTGTATCTTCTTCCACCTTCTTCTAAGTTTGAACAGAAATTCCAGAGCAGCCACCTGTGTCCATGAGGACATGGCATGAGAGAGAGATGAACTGCTAACCCCATGCCAGCAGCTGCTTGCTGCCAGACTTCACAGTAGGTGAGAAACACAAGATCTTACCTATGACATTGTATGTCAAGTTATCAAGGTATGTTGGTAAATTCATTCCTGAGCCCACCATCTGGGCTTATCTGACACATTTTCTAGATCTTGGTCAGGGCAGCACGAGGTCAGGAGCAGACTCACATCCTCCAACCTGCCAGGGGCACAGTGCAACTGTGATGGCTGCAGTCTCTAGGTACTTACCTCATTCCAAGGCTGAGAGCAGAAGTTTCCTATTCTCCTAATTGCCTCTTCCTGAGAGACCTTTTCTGATGTAAAGTTAAAGAAATCCATCACAAAATAGAAAATTGAAAATGCCTATAAGAGAAAATTGCAGTTTTAGGCTGTGTCCAACACATAGRAACACTGACTTGATCCCTGTGGGAGCTCATTTTTGGTTCAGAGAAAAGCAAAGATGCCATTTGCAGGGCATTCCTGCTGCAAACAAGCCATATGCTTCAATTCCACTAARATAATGGCAGTTTTTTAAGATGCATTATTTGTAACAAATCTGTATTCATATTTACTATTTGTCTAATTTAATAGAAATTAGTGTATGTATATGAGATATAGTCAAGATGTTTTGTTTGTTTGTTTGATATTTCCTTCATTTCTGAAGCARTCTACTAATGTTTTAGTAAAGTTCACATTCCACTTTTACCAGAATTCCAAAGGGGGGAAATCTCAGAAAGTTAGCACAAAATAAAATTTGTGTATAAATTAACCAAGGAGGCTTTGTTAATAAAAATCTTAAATACTTATTGTAAAAAAGTTACACATGGAAGCTGGACTGAAGGAGAGATCAGTGCCCGCATTCCCCATGTTATTCAGTGGTCAACTGTGTGTGTGTGT